ATTGTGAATGTGGTAATAATTCGTGTGAACCTTAAGAAATAGTGGCTACTCAGCCTAGTGTCTTGATGTGTTTAAGAGCAAGTCGTAGGAAAAGTTCTGAGTGATCCTGTACTGGAAGACAGTGACTGGATTCCCCGGATGGACTCTTACTCCATCTTTTTTTTTTTTTTTTTTTTTAAGATTTTATTTATTTGACAAAGAGAGACACAGCAAGAGCAGGAACACAAGCTGGGGGAGTAGGAGAGGGAGAAGCAGGGGGAGTGGGAGAGGGAGAAGCAGGCCTCCCGCGGAGCAGGGAGCCCCATGTGGGGCTCGATCCCAGGACTCTGGGACCATGACCTGAGCCGAAAGCAGACGCCTAACGACTGAGCCACCCAGGCGCCCCTCTTACTCCATCTTTTGTGTGGCCTGTGGCTTGACATTCAGACAACAGAGAGAGCTGGTGAATGAATGCTAGAGGGAAAAAAGGATAACTTTAACCATAATTTATCAGTAATAGTAAAGATAAATTCCTAAGAGGAAATAAGGTCTGAGAAGATTACAGGAAATATTAAATCTGTGGTTCTGTTTACGGTACAAACGCCCGACCAACTAATTACAGCTGTTTGTCTGTGGGTTCTAGAAGTGTCACAGGCCTGTTTATAGTTACTGCTTTGTAGACTTCAGCCCGCGTCTTGTGGAATCCTATTGGTTTGATTTGGGTTTGCTCAGATTTGTCCAAAGAGACATTATCTGTAGGCTCCATTTATGAAATGTAGCCCTGTATCAAATTTTTGTTTCCCAAACTTCTAGTTTCTTCCCCCTCCTTGCCAACAGTTTCCATTTTCATAAAGTGTACTTTTATTTATTTAATGTAACTTATGTAGCACTAACTTGTACCATGCACTGTTATATACACCTTTACATTTAATTCCTCATGACAAGCTTACAAGGTAGAAACTACTTAAGTCAACATGAAAAGCAAAAACCTTACAGGACAAGAATCATGATTTGTCTGCATTAAAATTAATAGCTTCTGTATGAAAAGGTAAATAAGGCTAAAAGATGAGCTATAGTCTAGAAGAAATTTAAAATGCATAAATCCATAAAAAAAGAAAAATAGTCCAACTGAGAAATGTGCAAAAAATACAAAGAGGAAAGAAAAGAAAAAAACAAAACCCATCTAATAGCCTTTAAGCTTCTGAAAACATGTTTAATTTCTTCATTTGTGAGAAATGCAACTTAATTTAAAGTAACCATCAGATACTATTTTACCTCTACACGAATGACAAAACTTTAGCCTGACAGTAACCAAAGTTGATGAGAATATGGAGCACAGAAGAAGCAAAAATCGGCACTAAGCTCTTTGGAGAACAGTCTGGCAAAATCTAATACAGCTGATGATGTGTCTACTTTATGACTCAGCAATTCTGCTTCTCCATATATACCTTAGGGAATCAATCCTATTGGAATAGACAGAGAAATGTATAAGGTTCCATTGAAGTGTTGTGGGTATCAGTAAGAGACTGGAAACAATGATGGACCATAAGTAGGAGAAAAGATAAACTGTGAAATATTCACACAGGAATGCACCCAGTGGATAAAACACTTGAGCCAAATCCTTATGTATGAGTACAGATAGATCTTAAAATTAAAATGTTCAATAAGAAAGCAAATTCTGGTATAAAGTTTAAAAGCCCACATGATACCTTATATTGCTCATGGATTAATCCAAACAGATACATACACATATATAAAATTGTTCTGAAGAGAATAAAAAGGACAATAAGGTAAAGGAGAGGTACAAAAGGAGCTTCACCTGTGTTGGTAATATTTTGTTCCTTAAAGATGTGAAGCAAATATGCTAAAATGTTAAGATTCTAATGATGAGGGTGGTTGAGGGGACATAAGTATTTGTATTATTTTCTTTTCTTTAGTTTTCTCTTTCATAGTTTTCTTTTCTTTTTTTTTTTATTATGTTATGTTAATCACCATACATTACATCATTAGTTTTTGATGTAGTGTTCCATGATTCATTGTTTGCATATAACACC